CGTTAATTGTCGATCGATGCAACGAAAAATAGCAATTAATTTCAATCAAAACAATCAACAGCCATAATAGCAGTTGCAGGCTACACTAGGCTATTATTGCTGTAAAATGGAACACCCCTGGCATACCACGCACTGAACCAAGCAGNCAATGGTCTAACCGCTAAGACATGCAAAACATAAGAGTACGCCCTCCCCCTCCCCCCCCCTCGTTAATTGTCGATCGATGCAACGAAAAATAGCAATTAATTTCAATCAAAACAATCAACAGCCATAATAGCAGTTGCAGGCTACACTAGGCTATTATTGCTGTAAAATGGAACACCCCTGGCATACCACGCACTGAACCAAGCAGACAGCAGGGTTGCCCTGTTTTCTGCAACAAACCGCACAAACGTCAAGAAAAAAATTCAAGCCAAAGCCATGCCACACATTCAATCCAACAGGAACAAAAAAACGCACAGACACTTGTGACTTCCGTAGAAGAATTCACCTGTTAATAAATGCAGTACCAAACGAAACGGAAAATAACAGCAACAAATATATAAGAAAGCGCCTCGAATACGATATATCGGGCTCATATCCAAGACACCACAAACACACACACACAGTTGCAAGACCGATAGTAGTGAGGGTAATTCTTTTGGGAGTGACGAAGACGAAGGAAAGGGAAAGGGAAGAAAGGAGGACGAAGACGACGATGGAGCAGGAAAACATGGAGGAGTGAAAGAGAGCAAAGAAAGGGTTTGATGAGCCAGATGACCTTCCCCACAACAAGAAACGAAGGGCAAGGGAAGAACTGCCCAGATATTCTTCTTGTCAAAATGAGGATCAGAATGAATGATGGTAGCGAAAACAAGGAGGATACTGGTGAAAGTACTCCTAAACGAACTCGAGTACTAGGTAATAAATAGCCTTGTAGACGGTTGCAGTTTTCTTCTGTTGTTGCTGCTGTTTCTGTTTTTGATCCGAAGGATAGTTAAGCCTTCCCCATGCTGCCCCCTAACGGGGTCCCAGTTCATGGTAGATAGAAGTGTCTTGTGTTTTCATTGGTCAGCCGGTTAGCGCGGTCGATTGTTATGGAGCCCCGATTCGCAGAGTATCCGTCGATTGACTTTTACCTGAATCGGTACACCTTCGCACATACATGGCGTCAGCTGGATACTGGTTCGAATCTCCTTGGGTGCACACTTTTTCTCCTGACCTGGATATTTTCCCATCCATGGACACAATGTGTGTCAGTCCTGAGAACACCTCTTGGAGTCGATCCTAGAAAGAACCTTGTAACACTTCCATCAATTTACCCATAACAAGGTTTTCGTGTGATTGAGAGCGAAGTTTCTGATTGAGAGCGAGATTGCGCGATGCGCTGTAGCTGGACTACCGCTGAGAGGTGGAGCTTGCTGCGTGACTTGAATTGAAGGCCTAGCCCGTAGCTACAAGCCGATACCCTGGTCATCCTGTGGGCGTCTCTCGTTGTGGAGCTACAGCGGGAAGCAGAATCTACAGCAGAGCTCACCGCCCGCGATCAAATCGCCCTGAAACAGTTTGAGGCAGGAATAGCCAATCTGGGGAAATCTAGCAACTTGTCTAGCTCCTAGCTGCAGCATCCGATCGCGATGACACGCATATGCTCGTGACGCTGCTGATGAGACCTTCAATTTGCGCCGCTTCTTGGAAGAGCCCGTCCCCTACTTCCCAAGAAATGGCAAGAGGCGTCTGGACCCGAAATTTCCAATTTTTTTGGCTCCCGCTCTCAATCGTATACTCCGCTTCTCAATCAGGCGAAAACCCTGTTCCATCCTGGCCACAAGAGGTTCCCAGTTGAGGGTAAATTCTGTGGGTGGAGATTGTTAAGGAGGACCCGATTCGCAGGGTATCTGTCGATTCACTTTTACCTGAATCGGTACACCTTCGCACGATGCTAATAATAGAGACACACACAGTCAAAATAAGATTCAGAATAATGGTAGCGAAAACAAGGAGGATACTGGTGAAAGTACTCTTAAACGAACTCGAGTACTAGATAATAGCCTTGGTAGACGGGTGCAGTTTTCTTCTGTTGCTGCTGTTTCTGTTTTTGATCCGAAGGATAGTTTAGCCTCCCTCATGCTGCCCCCTCACGGGGTCCCAGTTCATGGTAGATATGTTGGTTAAAACAACGAATGTTTTCAATTAGACTAACCCCGAATCTCCAATCTCCATATTATCTACAATTTGTTGCCTGATCTGTGAACTTGAAACTAAAGAGTTACAAGACGAAGAGGCTATGAAGAGGATAAAAAAGCTCTGTTTTGGTTACAAGGAGCTGTCTGAGTGTCTGAGCCACCCCTTACCCCCATCTCACTCGTGCATAATCACCGCTATACACGATAACCCCTGTTATGCACACTTTAATGCGTATATATCTATATAGACCACATGCATGCGCGCTCCAACTTATGCTTTTGCTTAGACTATGCAAGAAAAGCCCAGTAATGCACAAACATTAGCATGCATATGAAGCGTTCAGGGCCTACCAGGAAAGTTGGGGTGCTGCTCCGCTGTTGGTTGCTGTTCACGATGTCGTTGTTGTTGCGAATACAGGGGAGATTGCTCACCCCGAGGGAACGCGGTCTTCGAGGTCAAGAACAATAGAGCAAGCACGGTGCTGACCATGTCTCGCAATTAATTGACTTAATAATGATTAACTTCACGGTTAATTTATGTTTAATTAATCAGGTTAAAATTAAACATTGTCTGCAATAATTAAAAAACAATTAAATTGTTAATTTAAGATATAAAATTTATTGCAGTTAAATTAATCATAAATAAACTGCAGAGAAATCAAAGAAAATTGGCACAAATAACAATTCGAACAAATCACAAAGTAATGTTGAACAATTAACTGCCGTGGATGACTGAGAGAGAGAAAAGGTGCCCGCAATTAATTGATTGGCCAATTTTTTGAGAGGAACGTTCCAAAGAAAGGCGAAAATTCCGTGGTCGACCGGTGACGTCACCCACGGTCACGAGATTCAATATTTTTCAAATTTTCAAATTCGCCGTGGATGACTGACTGATGACCTCACACGGCAGCCAAGGGATATCATCCACCATCGCCCTCAAAAATAGACAGATTTCCCACCATCACCACTGATGATGACGACACATACGATCGATCGCAGGATTTCCTCATCAAGGCTCAGATGTGTTCAGGATGGAATAGGCTAGGCCGACCGGTCATTGAGGCATCACGAGGAAGGCTAAAAAGGGCCCCAGCGACAGCAGGGGGAGGCGAAAACTGTAGTTTAGTTTTGGTCATCTCCAGACTTACTTCCAAACGGTACCCACTCACTCTCACTGGAATTAAATACCGTGGTTGACGATTCGCCCCAATCCGTGGATAAATTTTGTGTTCTTACAACTATACCCACAGTACAAAGGACATGTTACATCGCCTCAAGAATAGATTTGCGGCATCTTCGGGTGAGCCGTCACCACCACAGCAATCAGTATACAGATGGTGCTACGTGGAGCAAGTGGATCAAGCCGAACCCCTGGCAAACAGGAGTAACGGGTGGCGCTATGTAGGCCCGCGAGGGGTTACGTATCGTCGCCAGGCGGGCTTCGGTGCAGGATACCGGATTCGTATCTCGGCCTCGTCCCATGGACCAGGATATAGTCTAGACTAGATGGTTCAATTCGCATCCAGTTGGAGGTGATCAATCACTGGAAAATTTCCAATCCTGGGCAAGAAGGAAGTGGCGGCGCGGCCTGGTCCACCCGAGAGATGCCGATGCATGGAAGACCGCCTTTATCGACGTCGAGGGCGGTGGCCGCGGGCAGCTCGTAGTCTCAGCGGCGGATGACACCTGGCGAACGATCCTCTGCTGGGGATCGGCGGGCAGAAGGATCTAGGTCGATCATGAAGGCATCCCGACTTCCTTGTCGAACCTCCAGGTCCGCGCCGGTATCGACTCGCCGAGCCCTAGCTTCAGACAACTCAACATCGCATCCTTTGGTAACAGGGTTGTGAGATACGAACCTCTGACCACGTTCGGCATGACATGGAAGAAACGACTCCTCCCTGGTGCTTGCCTCGCTGTACTCGTTGCGGACGCCTGGCGAGACTGTCAAGTCGAACTTTGAGACGAGATCGACGGAGATTTGGCTTCAGGGATGTCGACCCTGTAACGGGATCATTCACGATCTCGACCGGTGGTGGACGGCGAAGGGAGGGTGCCACTGAACCGCTGAGGAATGCGTTGGATGGTGGTAACTACTTCCGCAACCTGTATTCAGTGCTTCTGGGTCGAGACGTGGGGAGCGAAGAGTTCGATACGTGGCTTGCGGGGGTAAGTGAACCGCCACCGCTCACCTTGCGAAACCTCTAGCAGTGGCTAAGTATGACTAAGGCGAACGTCGTCGTGTGGTCACACAGGGGCTCTGGCGACAATGTCCTTGGGCCAGTCGACGAAAAAACAAATCTCCGGCCGCCAGCATTACACGTTGGGGTTCGCGAGGGACACGTGTACCGATTGGAGGTCGACGGGCCATGGAGGGACCGGTTTGGATCATCCTTGGACGTGGCCATCGAGCACAGTGTTAGAACCCAGCGAAGATTCCGTCGGATTGCCGAGGCCGTCGAAGAGGAAGAGAAACCGGACACCACTGGGTGTGGAAGCAGGGCTTTTTTGCGTGTTGCGGACATCGAAAAAGAGATCATGTCCATGAGCCGATTAGACAAGGATCACGACCCGCAGTCGGCGCAGAAGCGGAAGCGAGGAACAAACGCATCAGCATCCACGACGTGGTGCTCGCCTCCGGGAACTGCTCTCGAAGAATTGATGCTCCACCTGCACATTCGTGGCATCTCATGCAGGGGGAAACTTACCAACTACAGCCATTGGGACTCCCTCACCTTACCCTCACATGACATCACTATCCGGACGTGGTGCGCCGCAAGCATGGGCGGGTTGGACCCGAACGACTTTCGGCCCGGTGAGGCTACCCGGTTGATTGAGCTGCAAAACGCGTTGGGTCAGCAGTTTTATCGTCGTGTCATGGACTTTGGAGTTTCGAGCCAATACAGCCAGTCCCTCCTCTCCCTTCTCGAGATATGCTGGCGCGGACCAATCGTCGGCGCCGAGCAAGCGTCTGGGAATTCGTACGGGCCGGAAGACTGGCAGTGCGACATCAACGGGGCACACACGGCAGCCCTTTTGAGCATGGATACGGTGTCGGTGTTCGCCCTCATGGACGAAGTGCAGGAGTACGATGACCACGAAATTGAGGATTCGACGCTTTACGTCGTTCGGCTGGATGACACAGGGGACCCTGACGTGTATCTTAATGCTGATGTGACCCCAATCACGGGTCGGAACTACAACCGGTGCATTCAGCAAATTCACAGATGTGTTCGCCATCGAGTGACTCACTTTGTGAGGCCGGCAAGGACGGTCGAAAAATGCCACATACCTTACGTGGCCAGAGAGCTGCTCACGCGGGAGCTTGGGGACCCCCTCCTGGAGGGCGCCGAAAGCGCTCGCAAATTTAAGAAAGGGATATTCGTGCGGACTAGTGGAATGTTGCAGCAGAGATATGCGGACAGGATCGATGCTGTCATGGTTACGGGCAGTGACGAGGCCTTAGCTGTGGGTGGAAAGGTCGTACGGGTCCTCGGTGAAGTCCAACATGTGAAGGCCGGCCTACGCACAGGCGACAAAGAGCTGGGTTTCGAACCACTCGCTACCGGGGACGCTTACCTTTGCTTCGAAGCGAAACGAACTTGGTTCAGAGACGGCTTCTGGGCCTTGGGTGAAGAAATTCTCGACCGAACTCGACTGCGTGTGTTGGAGGTACGGAATGCTCTTGAATCCTGCGGCGCATCAGACTTTAGCTACCAATTTGACGCGGTATTCTTCAAGGCATCTCCCGCAGTCCAGGATGAAATGAGGCTCCGCTTTGGCCATCTGTTCAGTGGTGAGCTCAATACTCCCGGCACTCTCAAGTTGTGCCCAGCATTGAAGAATCCACAGACCTCCGAAAGTCGCGTCTTCCATGGCATCGAAACCAAACTATCCCTGAGTGCGTTACCACCCGCATTAGGGCAAACCCATGCCCGCCCAAACGGGTCCTACGGGTGGTTCCGCTGTGGGATGGCATTGGGACGAGCTTCCCATCCATGGATGACACCCACAGAGCCCGGCTTTCTTTCACCAAAGACCAAAAACTACAGATTTGGCCGGAGGTGTGCGAAGAGGAGTCACCAGTAACCCTTGAACGACTACTACGTGCGCTGAAGTTCGAGGTGGAAAGGGTCGTTTGCGCGGTGACCGGGGAGCATGGGGGAGCGGGGAAGAGTTACTGCGCAACCCGTGCTGCAACGGCCATCTTCAAAACTGGGCTTGTCGTAACCCCCACCAATAGTTTGAGAACGTCCTTCACAGACATGCCATGTGGGTGGAGTGTAAAGACCTCCGACCACCAGCTCGGTTTCTATCTGGGGGATGATTCTCACGTCAAGAAAACGGCGGGGTCGATACGAACGCTCAAGGCTGACGTGATCATCATTGAAGAAGCTGCTTATATGCCTCTCCGGACACCAAGCATGATATTGGCTGCTGCCCATTGCAGCGGCACCCACGTGATCGGGACATACGACATGCACCAACTCCAAACGGTTGAGGACAGTAGCGGTATGTCGACAAGTAGGGACAATGTGGACAGGAGGGTCGTCCTCGAAAAGGCTTTCCCCATCTGCTTTCATCTCTTCGCGCGCAAGCGGGATAAAACTACCGAAGAACAAGTGGAGATGGACGATGGCCTCTTGTATATTCTCGGCGCGGGACACGACCGTCACATGGCACAGACACGAGCTATCGAGAGGTTTGGCTGCGGGCGCTCGACTTATCACCATAGCCCGTCAGATTTTCACCTCGCTTACACTAGAGACTGCGCTCGATTCCATGCCTTCCGAGGTTTGTTGGGGTGCAACGAACTCGGTGGCTGGGATTTGCTTGGACACGCAAAGCTTGTCGGCGCACAATATCGAGACCTTGGAAGGTCGGGCAAGATACAAAAAAAACATATATACAGTGTCGTCCGATCCTCGGCAGATACAGTCGTCGTCGAGAGTGCATTTGACGATGGTGCTAGTCTTGGGGAGACGTCACTCTGTCGAGCAGAAGCAGAAAACTTGTTTGATCCTCCGGGATCATGTACAGTACACTCGGTCCAGGGCCGAACGGTCGAGGGAAGATTGGTTATCCACCAAGCCCGTCATCCTCACGCCGACATGAATTGGTTGTATACGGCGATAAGTCGAGCGACCGGTCCTTCAAACGTTTCAATCGTGGACGACGTGCACCGCAGCAAGAGCAACATGTCCGACCGAGGGAGGGTGTCATGGGTTTCTCGCAAGATTTCAAGCTACATCTACGCCGACGTTACGGCCGGCCGTCTTGAACCAGACGAGGGTATGCAGCATAGGGAAGCTCTTGCCGAAGAGCTTCTGAACTCGTACGGAGGTAGATGCTGCCTGTGCTCATGTGAGCTTGTATGGGCCGTTTACAGCGAACGCCAACCGACTCTCGACCGCCTTGACTGCTCTTTGCCTCACACTCCTGACAACGCGGACGTCAAATTCTTGAGGTGCAATCGCGCTCGTGGTAGCCAGGGGAGAGGACGCACAAAAAGAAAAAGGTAGATGATAGTGGGAAGGAGGAGAGGTAGCCCCATCATGAACAAAGTACAGGAAGTAATGTGCGCTTTTGTTAGAAGCCGTGTTCAACATGGGCCAGAAGATCTCGAAGTGCGTGAAATGGCTGGAAGAGCACGAGAATCCAGGCGAGGTTCTGGATGTTCTGAGGAATCTACACCCTGGCTCCTTAAACAAAAACGTCAGAAGGGTTCGGGAAGTTTGGATACAAGCGTTCGGCGCCCGACACAATGCAGGTCCCATCAAGATCGAAATCCGACGATTGCTCGCCCTTATCAAGAAGAGATCATCCGCGGCGAAGAAGACGAAGGGGCGGAAGGAACACCTGAAATAGCTACAGAAGGCCTGGGGTCGCGTTGCGTCATTCGAGAAATTAGACCTTACCGACAAATGGTCGGCCCGACGCGCGATACACTCGCGGACGGTGTCTTTCACTGAGCTCGCCGAAATTGACGACCTCCTGAGGAAGGTGCGATTTCTTCCGCCTTACGTCTCCCGGTTAGAGCTCACGCCCGAGGAGAAAAGCTTGCCAATATTAAAACGCCGAGAAACCCTAGAGGCAAAGTGTAGGCGTGGAATAACGGTGCACGCGAGCGATCTCATCGACGCCATGCAGTCCATCATCAGATACGCACGCCCGAATTACTTCTAACTTGCGTGTGCGTTGTCGCTTGTGTCTGGGAGGGGTCTAGCGGAGCTTGCCGGGAACGCTGACTTTTCACCAAGCACGCGTGGCCCCTACGAGTCGGAGGTTATGATGGGAACTGTGGCCCGGGTCCTGTTGTTGTGCGAGTATAACCACTTCATCGAAGGTCTCACGAGGTTGCGCGGCACGAAAGATACCTCCTGTCTCACTGCCGCACAGAAAAATCAACGCTACAGCAAGTCAGCCAACATCGCCGCTAGGAAACTATTGCCGACGGATGGTGATCGACGCGTGTTTGGTGATCTTAAGGTTTTACATGCCGCGATTTCCTACCGGGTATTAAAAAAACGCGACTTGGATTTGGTCGGGTGGGTCGGGGTTGCTGTGGGTAATTTGTCGCCGGCGTTGCAACGTAAGAGTTCAGTAATTAGGGTGGAGGGGATCGAAGACCGTCATTGCAGGTAATGGGTGGGTGATTGTACGAGTAGGGTATAGCGGTAGAATTCACATGAATATAATCGTGTTATGTACCATGTTAGAATTTCAATAGACCCGAAAAATAATTATACAAAAATATTTGAATAAACACAAAACGCGTGGGCCAGACAGGCAGCGAAAGAGTAGTGTGGGTATGGAGGCTTCCCAGCAACTCTGTGGTGCACCCGGGCATGTACGTATAATGCTGACAACGGAAAGAAAGCTTCCTTGCGCTTATGAGTGTGAGGATCTCCGCACCGTGTCACAGCGTTGTCTCTGATCGCGTTGTCTCTGATCGCGTTGTCACGTTTGGAGCCGAAACGAAATTATTGTGCGAGCAGCCACTAGCGAGAAGACACACTCGAACAATGTTGTTGTTGTTGTTGTCTTCACATTAAACCGTATGTCAGTTGCCAAATGCCAAAATCTAGCAAAAGACTCTCAGCCCGTGGTCACGAAAGCGCTAGAGCCATCTGAGGATCTAAAGAACACGCACACATAAAACGAGAAAAAGGTATCCAAGAGCCCGAAGAGGTACACCTTAAAATCCCTGCAGCACCGTATGCGTGCCCAAAAACTGAACTGCACGTCCGTCCCACCGTTCGACTACAGTAGCATCACCCCCTCCCTGTCCCACTCTATACCAAAACGGAAGATTGCCGACTACAGCATA